CAAAAATTCCAGGTCTATTGACCGGAATCGGTTGCCTGACGTACTTGAAGAAAAATTCTGAGGGGGAAACGTTTACGCTGCGACAGACGATCTATCAGGACGTCTTTAACTCGGATTTTGTGGGTTTTTCACAATTTTGATGTGGTTGTCAATCGATCACGCGTTTTAACTCTATAGAAAAGCAACTAGACACAAATTTTCAAAACAATTTTTAAGGCGTATTATCGCTTCCTAACGTTAGTTCTGAGTAAAACCGCATAAAAATTTTAATTAGATTTTGGAAATTAATTTACGACGTTTTTTAGGGCAGCGATATCAACGACCTGTCCTGGTCTTTCTATCTAGCGACCCTGGCTACAGTATTCTTCTTCGCGGCCGTGCTGTTGAACGGCTGCTCGCGGCCGCCCGTTCAATATGAAGTCGTTAGCGTTGTTTAGAAATATTGAATTCCTATCTTCTTTTATGCAAAATTTAAAAAAATTGACGTTTTACGAGGTTTTCGAGCTGTACTTCGCCGCACCACACCGCACTTGGCGGCTTCTAGGCTAAAAACTACAACATATTTCGTTTATATTCAGCTCGAAAATTTTGATTTTCACTTTAAAATGCTTTTGCAATGGCTAATCGCTGATTTCAATGTTTAAATGCTAAACTCAACTAAAAATTACAGTCCTCAGCTCCTCTCCTTTCCCCCATAATCAACGACGAGTCCCATGTTACGGGTTTTCTGTTTTTCTCTTCGAAACCATCCTATCAAAATATTATCAAATTCTGAACTGGTATTCAAAATTAAAACTCTATTTTCTATTTTTTATGCGCCAATAATTTTTTATGGCAATAAATTGTTTATAGAATTCAGGAAATCAACATAAAACTATTAAAAAACGACCAAACCCAGAAAACCGTACAATAGCACATGCGTAGTAAAGCGTAGTGAAACGTAGTAATATCACGTGGTAAAAACGTTGAAAATCTCAGACGTAAAAAAACGTAAAAATTTGGTCGTTCGGAATCCGAGAAGGAGAAATCACCTGTATTTTCGGGGTCACTAGAATGGGAAGGATTGCACTTGAGATGAGAAGAAAAATACAAAGGGTTCGCGATATTTTGAAGTTAAATAGGTCTAAAGTGATAAATTACAAGGTGTAATTAATATTCGTAAAATACTAGCCTTAGAAAAATCACGAAAATCCAATAAAGTCAAAGCTCGATGTGTGTTTTCAGACAACCGTAGACTTTGAGAAGTAGTTCAGCGATCGGGGCCGGGACTCGAATATTCAAATCTGGATCAGCGAAATCGGCCGATAATGCACATAATATCAGTATCGTTGGTGCTCTGCCCCAGCTCCAGGTAAACCTAAGCAAATGGCTTCAAAAATTTTTACGTACATTGTTAGGTTTCTAGAAACCTGATTTTCGAAGGCACAACTTTAATTTCGCTATAACTTATCGGTTTTGAGTTACAAAGGTTAAGCGAGTTACAAAATTAATTAATTAACTTATTTTCATAAACGTTGTAAAAATTTTCTAGATTATGCGTCTAAAAATTCAGCTGAATTAATACAGCATTAACTTCGCAAGTTTAACTCAAGACCACTTTACTCTAGCTATGCTTTCCATTACGACTGGAAAAATCAGCATTTTATTGTATAAAAACCAACGTAAATATCCTCCTGAATTTTCTACGTATAAAGAACTCCAGAAATCTATTTTAAATCTGTTTTTACATGATTTCTTTGAATTCTACTAATTGCTGCGTAAAATATCGTTACTTTAGTAATTTTTGCCTAGTCAATTTAAATGTTAGCTTTGAATGCTGGAGTAATTTGATTTGCATATCCTCTTAATTGTTCGAGATGGAAAACACAGTAGTAGCTCGCGAAAACTGCAGAAAAGTCTTCTTGCCATCAAGATTTCCAGTTGCTAGCCACCTGCCTGTGGCCTGATTCCAGGACTGCCGGGGCAGGCGGATAGCTCCCTTCCCTTCATCATTCCCCCCAGTCGCTCTCCCCCCCGGCCCATGTAGTATAGTGGTTAGTAATTCACGTTGTGGCCGTGGCGACGGTGGTTCGATTCCACCCATGGGCAACTCTTTTTGCTTTTTGGGGGAATCACATGGGATCGGCCCTTGATACCTGGTTAATATTTTTGCGCTATCCCCACCTTCCTAACAACGGTACACTCCCGAAACACTTTGTGAAAAACCCGTCCCAGAAGCGGAAGGAGCGGAACATCCTCGGCAAACAATGCCATTCTTGGAAACGCCGGCGGCAGGCTTTTTCGAATTTGTTCTAGGTCTTGTCATCTTAGAAAGCAACATTTTTCGTACCTGTAAGAAGTTGATAGTCACTCATCACTCCGACGAGAGCGCAAAAGTTCACAGACGAAAAGTATGACTAGGGAAATCTGGGCCTAAAAATAGGGCAAAAATGATGGCCGGCAAGATGAGACGAAAAAGCGCCGAGGATGTAGACGATGATGAACCAGCGGTACTCGTAAGCATGATTAAAGGACGGTAATTATCGTTTCTGATGAGAAATCACCTGGCTTCTCTCTCTCTCTCTCTCTCTCTCCCTCCCTCCCTCCCACTTCAGCAGTCACATTCTCCGAGCTCCTACGTATGAGGAAAATAGGATTTTCCCGTAACCATGGAATCACATAAAACATTAGGGTACCAATTATGTTGTAGATTACAGAGCACATGGCCATGTGAAGAGTTCTAAAAATAGAACAGATGCTTAATAAGCTTTTCAGAATTGATAAACCAAATATGTAAAATTCCTTACTTTTCAAATCGTGTTTCATCTGCCGACATTGCTGCGATAAATCCCCAAGCAAAGGTGAACCATCCGAGGTTTGAGTCGAGGGCTTAGTGGGTAGACCTTAAATATGGTAGATGATATAAACAATCAAATCCACTAGGTATCGAAAAGGTCGAAGGCTAGAAATTCTCACCTTTTTCAATGAAATAACGCCAATTCCCACCAGTGGCGTTAGAGAGGACGAGAAAATCGAGTTGGATTGTAGCTAAAATCGATAATTATCGTCTTAATATAATTTTAGCGACGGTGCATTCAAAATAAAGCATTTTAGCTTACCAAAAGTGTTACTACCATCCCAATAAACATAATAATATATCCGGTCAGCCATTTAAAGGGCTAAAGCACTCTTTGTCGAGGAAGCTTGTCGAGTAGGATGGTTTTCAGCTTTGGCTAGTTGATAGCATCTTCTAAAGAATTTCGATGTCGTATCGCTCTCTCTCTCTATCTCTCTCGCTTTCTCAAAAATAAGACTTACCGTGATCAAGTGTACAATCCCGCAAAGGCAGCAAATCAGCGCTATCACAGAACCGACAACGACGATCACTCCTATCGCCATATCACCGGATAGAAGAGCAGGCAAAGACAGGCGCAGGCGGACCAGCCTGGGAATTGATATTGGGGTTTGTAGTCCCGATATCTTCGCTTAACGCTTCGAACAATTTCAACAATTAGCTATCCTGGATCCATTGGCAAAAACACAAAGTGACTGCACAAAAAGAGTTGATTTGCAAAAAGCTTTTCTGGCGACAGTAGCGTTTTCGATTTACCATTGACCTGAAGAAATCGAAGATAAAGCGAGAGAGAGAGAGATAAAGAGATAGAGTCATACCTGAAGTATCAGTTTGCTGAACGGATCTTGTCAGAAAGTGGTCCAACGTCTTGAAAGTCAGGCCTTTTTCTGAGACTAACGGATCGACGATTTTCCAGCTCAGCTTTTCGATCGCGCCTAAAAAATGAAAAAGCTATGCAAAAATAGTGTGGAGATTCCAGTTAAAACTTACTCTGTTTCAATCTCAACTGGCAAGCGATTACGACCAAAATCAGGTGTAATTGAAGACGTCAGATGGCGGGGTAGTTAGCAAAGCGAAGGCTCGTCTAAAGGACCATTAAATCAGAATCTATAGCAAAAATTTACCGAAACTGTTCTTTATCCCCCGAATACGCCATCGAGACAAAAGAGTTTACCATACTCGAGCCCAGCCCGGAGCCGATCACGACTGGGATCGTGGTGTCGACGGTGATCACCAAAATGGCACAAGTTTTTAAAGCGGGATTGCTAAATCGTACTGTATAGTAACCTCAAACAAAGTGCCTATTTAAATTGAACTTGTTAATCGAGTTTCCCGGGACCCCCGTAGGCAACGCGGTAGTCACAAAGAAGCTGATCAAATTTCTGCCGACAACAAAATTAAGAATTTATGATGTGAAGAATATAGAAAAAAATAAAATTAAAAAATAAGATGATTATTTCTTAAAAATGCCTTCCCAGTTCCTTTATAACTCACTATTCGCAGCAACCCATATCTGACGAGTACGGTAACCGCATGGTGGGACTTCTGAGGACCACGGTACCCACCATGCCCAGGGATGAGGCTATGCAGAAATTAAATCCTGTATCATGGGGCTGTCCTTGATGACTTTTCCTAAAAATGATGATAATTAAGTGTCGTAAGCGATTCACTATTTCCTAGTTACGATACTACGAACTTGGCCGGAGCCCGAAAATTTCAGAAGGGGGGACCCTTATGATTTTTATTTTCTCAAAAATTTTGCTGCCTGCGGCGCTATTTTTTCACGTTTTTACGGCTGTTTGTAGAACTATGTTACCTTTTTTCAAAAATTTTCGCCTGCGGCGCTGTTTTCTCGGTAAAGTTTTAGAGTATTTTGGAAAGAATTTTGCAGGCCTCCCCGAGAATTTTTTTCTGGCTAC